GATTATGATTACACAAGTGTCCTTAAACATGAAACAAGGTCTGATTCACAGTTCGATGCCTTAGTTTGGCCTTTGTTAAATAACACGATAATTGTGGAATGGTGAATGTAGCATATGATGACCTAGTTGTTGAAGATGATTGTTCAGTCGACTACTCATTGTCCCTGTATATTTATTAGTGAGTCATTGTTGAGTTCCGAAAAGGAATAAACCACAGTATCATTTTTTTATTGAAAATAATTTAATGAAAGTTTTATACAGTTTGACAGAATTGCACGCACATACACATACACACAGCACACACTCACACACACACAGAGTTCACACAGACAAATACACGTCACAATTGTTGTTATAACATCTTCATTAGAAAGAACAAAACTATGCTGACCACGAAAATGACCAGAAACAATGTCGATATGAAGACATCTGAGAAAGGAGAGATCAATAACAAGGAATCCAAATTTACTTATCAAATTTAAAATGAATGAACGATCAGTTAGAACTTTGCATGAGAATGTGAGATAATTCGTGACCTACATATACACAAATAGAACTACATGTGGATATGCAGTATAAAGTTGACACATGTGAATTGACATAAATGATCAAACATCAGTCAAATGAACGTCGTCTATATAATTGTGTTGAACAAGTGTACACATTGTGAATATGATTTGAACTGTGCGAACCGACTTTATTAAAGGAGATATCTCTCAAAATACTGATATGTGGAGAGTAGCATTCGATGTGTACGAATACGTTCAGACAGTTTGGATGTATGAGACAATTGGCAACTGATTATTGTGCACATGAATTCAGAACTAACAGTGAAGTCCATACTCACTTGAAGTACTGATATTTTCTAGAAATGATGATTCTGTAATATTCGATGCTGTAAATGAGAGATAAACACAAGTGTAATATGACGGATTCAGTTCAATAATTTGATGAGAGGAGATAATACATTTCATAACCCCTTAACAGATAACATCATCCTGTGTTATTCATTGAAAAGCGAATATTTTCTATTGAGACCTATTTGGAATGAAAATGTTGGATTGTGGTTTGTGCTACTGATTTCGCTAGATTTAAGTAGTATGTCTGATCAATGGAAAGTGAAATGATTGGCAGTAGGATGTTATGGAGATCGAAGAGAAGAGAATGAGAGCAAAGAATGATTGGTGTAGATGTGGAAGAACAATGAAATCTGAGATGATTGACTCACATGCAGTGCTTGTATTTTCTAGAAATGATGATTCTGTAATATTCGATGCTGTAAATGAGAGATAAACACAAGTGTAATATGACGAATTCAGTTCAATAATTTGATGAGAGGAGATAATACATTTCATGGTTCTAAACAGAATACATCATCCTGTGTTATTCATTGGAAAGCGAATATTTTCTATTGAGACCTATTTGGAATGAAAATGTTGGATTGTGGTTTGTGCTACTGATTTCGCTAGATTTAAGTAGTATGTCTGATCAATGGAAAGTGAAATGATTGGCAGTAGGATGTTATGGAGATCGAAGAGAAGAGAATGAGAGCAAAGAATGATTGGTGTAGATGTGGAAGAACAATGAAATCTGAGACGATTGACTCACATGCAGTGCTTGTATTTTCTAGAAATGATGATTCTGTAATATTCGATGCTGTAAATGAGAGATAAACACAAGTGTAATATGACAGATTGAGTTCAATAATTTGATAAGAGAAGATAACACATTTCATGGCTCTAAACAGAATACATCTTCGTGTGTTATTCATTGGAAAGCGAATATTTTCTATTGAGACCTATTTGGAATGAAAATGTTGGATTGTGGTTTGTGCTACTGATTTCGCTAGATTTAAGTAGTATGTCTGATCAATGGAAAGTGAAATGATTGGCAGTAGGATGTTATGAAGATCGAAGAGAAGAGAATGAGAGCAAAGAATGATTGGTGTAGATGTGGAAGAACAATGAATTCTGAGACGATTGACTCACATGCAGTGCTTGTATTTTCTAGAAATGATGATTCTGTAATATTCGATGCTGTAAACGAGAGATAAACACAAGTGTAATATGACAGATTCAGTTCAATAATTTGATGAGAGGAGATAATACATTTCATGGTTCTAAACAGAATACATCATCGTGTGTTAGTCGAAACATATTTGGAATTCAACGGTTGAATACGTGAGATGTTATTAAAACACACGATTTCCGACTTCATCGACATAAGTAGCATGTAGTACGTAAAACATCATGAACATATGAAAAAGAAGCACTGGTCAAGGCAGAAACATTCACGTAATCATAGGAAGAGAATGCCCGAAGAAATGTGGGTTAGGTGAGATTTCCACCTGTCGTCAACTTAGTCATGTCCTCATTCTTCACCGTGAAATTCACAGATGCTACATAAATCGAATAAACACAGAAAGCCAAATCACTTATTGACGAACGACTCAACCATCAGAATATACACAACTGATCAATTCATGCTAGAATGTTGATGTGAAGCGAGACCACGTTTACTTATATCACCATTCAGTATGCACAAATATCACTGACACATTCATTCAACCAACACTACGCACGCGCACACACACACACACACGTGTGATGAATGACACGTTTTAATGTTCAATGCGATCAGATGACTGATGTTCCACGGAAACCGTTGAATACAGTTATGCGAATTCTCCTCATTTTCGATTTACACCGCACAGGTTTTCAATGAAGTGAGTTGAATTTTACGTTTAGTATCAAATCGCCATATGCTGAGATGAGAGTGACTTTCTAGTGTTTATCAATTCCATAGATTGTCACGTGTATTTTGTCTCAATATTTCATAACTGTTCAATCAGCATGTTAATTATTAACCTCGGAGTATCTCCACTTTCACAAATACTTCGAAACTTCCCACAATCTAGTCAGATTTACATGGGGAACAATGGATTAATTGTTATGTATTTATCTCACGTTTTGTTTGGTTTGTTGATTGTTCTTTGTTCCCTTTCCACACTGGTTTTTTATCTGGTAAATGAAAACAATGAATACATATGATTATGTTGGTGATTCGTTAAGGTGACTAAATCAATAATGAGAATGTTATGAAAAGATTAGACTGACAGCAACTGTGATCTATTACATAGTCAAAATGTTAAGATTAGTGAAGAAGCGAAGTAAACATTGATCTGTTATACATACAGAAACGTTACATGAACTTACATTTGGCTTTTATATTCTACAAAACAATGAAAACAATATGGTGATTAGGTGTGTGTGATGTTGGAAATTCGGTTGAACATAATCAGACTAGTGGAGAAGGGACGTTGGTCATTCTCAAATCTCTTCAAATGTTTACCGACATTCAGACAGTTCAATTGGAGACAGTTTCATCTGGTCTCGCTACAAACATCAAACATCAAACATCAAACACCATGTGGTTTCATGCTGAACCTACATTCCAAACACAATTCATTGATGCATAGAACACAGTTGGGATTCAGTGTAATCCTGTATGTAGGTGAGAAGGAACTAGTTATACTAGTTATACTGATGGAACATCGAGGAAAGTATTAACTGAACAAAATATCTTCTTGTGTTTGAAAATGTAATCAATGAACTCACATTCATGGCATATTGATTTGGATTGCGGTAGGAAAGAGAGAATTTTGAAAACAAAGAGTTTGTTTATTAGTTGAGAATGGAATGTTGAATTGACAAAATTGTGCTGAACAGAGCTCAATGAAACAGATTACTCGTGAGATAGATTTCAATGTACTATTTTCTCAGCTTAGTTCCTATGATCTCACCATATATAAATTATCACTGTGGTGTCTTGGTTAACTCTACATGTATCGTGTGTTGTGATGACCAGAATCAGTGCGACACTCACATGTGGACCAGTGGTTATTATTTGTCTGTGAACGTCTGCAATGATTCACGTTAATCATTATTGTGATGATGACGTCATCGGTGTAGATGACTATCAAATGACTCTAGTCATGATGGCACAACACTCAGCGTATTGAGATGAGACACATTTACATGGAGAAATGTTCAAAACTGAGTTAAATTACTGAGCGACGTCAGAAACGTGAACTCGATTGTGAGTAAGAGTTTTCCTACCGATTTCATCAAATTGTCATGATCACATTGCTTGATCACATTGGGAAACTGGAAAACTAAAGCAACACTGCGGGGTGAATCAGACCAGCTCTTCTATTCTAGATATATATATTATCATGATGTCAACCGTTTTGATTAGATTACACCGACCAGTGAACTGTGACTATGAATAACTTCGATATTTCTGTGATGGCAGGCACTGTTAGTTGACGTAGAAACAACATTATTTGGACCACACATCTGAACTACATTTGGGTGAATTAGACGTGAATATAGACAACCACTCTGGTAGATATTCCTTTTAAATTTGTCGACTGACAAACATGTGCGATTTCACTACACGTGCACACATTTTTCTACTTCCACAACAGTGCTTGCCAGAAAAAATCTTGCAATGCATAAGACACACAAAGAAAATGTTACCCATCGTCGGTAGAGAGAAACGGTTTCCATGTTTGTTGAACACAATGAACACTTCTTCCATTCCTTCTTCTGCTTTGAATTCATCCGAATAGTACTCAATTCGGTTGCTCGTGATGGTATACATCTTTAGTGGTTGGTTCGAATATCCTCTGAATATAATGATGGAATCAGTTGGTTCACAGGCTGTTCTTTCTCTTTCCCACTTCACGTGTGAATACAGATTTGACCTCAACTGAATTTGAACATTATTGATTCTCGGAACTAGGAAGGAATGAAAGGAAGAATGTGAGCACAAAATGAATACACTGTGACATTGTCACTGCTGATGAACACAGTGATTTGATGGTGAATATATCAAACGGAGCAGTACTGTGGCTTCGTTACAACGTATACATAGATTGACATACATCACAAGAAATTCAATCAAACATTCCACTGAACATGTGATCTCTAAAGATGTCAATATGGAATTCGAATGTTGTATAATTGTGATGAAGATGGAACAGAGATTGGAAATGTGATTGTTAGGTAAGAGTTTAGAAACAACTCACGTCTTTTGTATGTCATGTGAAAGGTGTTCAAATTAGAAGGAAAGGCGTTCTTGGTGCGGCACTCGGCACGATATATTGAATGTTCACATGGTTCGCCAATGGCTTCTAATAAACCTATATTGCCTTTGTATACGTTCACTGATTTATCAAACCTATTGGGTATGTCTTGAAGCAAATAGACATAACCAAAATCTTTGTCCGTCAGTGTTTCCCATTCGAAGGCCATGGCTGTCGTCTGTTCTTGAATTACGCGGAAAGTATTTGTATCTGCATTGTCTGTTTGAAAATGAAGAGAAAACACTTGGAATTGAGAGTTTGATTAGGGTGCAATGAATTTATTAGGTATGACTGTTTATCCAGTGTGATGACATTGATGGCACTGACACTCGAATTTCTGTACTCTATGAACTGATGGTCGACTAAAATGATTGAGCGATTGAGCAGTTTAATACGAGGTCTGTTTTGCAGAATGCACAGTTTTGATTGGACAAGTTCAAGATGAACATATGGATGGTGGATCAGTTACTGCAACTTGCGATGCACATCACAAATTCAGATTTCGATTATATGTATATTTACGAGAACTCAATCAAATACAAAACAATCTAACTGGAGATCATTCTATTTTGTGTGATGTTTGTAGTTCAATGCATAGGTGGATGAGTGTATATACAAACCAGTCATGGTGGAAAAGTGAATAATGATCCATGGGATACAACGTCTCACGTCTCAACTTCATTGTGAATTATTAATTGGGTTCAACATAGTTCTCCTCAATCAACTACGTTGCAGATTCACATCAGATTTCAGTGGCCATCGAATACTGGTTCGAGTAGTCAACGAGTAACATATTTATGTTCACTGAGAAATGCATGCTGATCAGCATAGATACACACACGTTTGTGAACGAGTGGCATTGAGTGACACAATTAACTGTGAGGACAAACACGATGTCTCTAACTATGTCAACAACTTCACTTGTTCAAAGGTGTACTAGATAGATTCGTGCATCAGGACACTTCATCCCTCACTTGATTTGTCTGATTTCAAATGTGTTTTCGGAATGCTATATCTTTGCGTATTCGAATACACTTATTATCTTGATTATCTGAATGAGGTTGAAAAATACTAATGATAAGATACAGCATAATTCGCGCATTTAATTAACGATGTTTGATGAATTTGCATCCAGCTTATGCAAGAGTATACGGTTGCTGATGATACTACAATATCAATTATCTTTAGGACCATTCACTGGAAATGCACACACACTTTTCTGAAAGTGCTTTCATGCAACTTCATTTGCTTGGGCGAAGTAAGTTCATCTTCGAATACTCTCCATTTCCAGATGTAACTGTCAGTAGGAATCTATGTCGGTTTGCAGTTTATTCACACACTGTCGATGTCATTTGAACAGTGTTTTTAACCACGTGATGATTTAGTCCGATGATGTCACGAGTAATTTAGCTTGTGATGAATTTTTCGTTTAACTAGGGAAATAAACTGTCGTTTGTGCAGTCACAATCAACCTACAATAATTCCACTCATCTTCGTTATGATGACACTAGCAAAAATGAATTATGATAGGAATAGGGAATGATCGTTTGAGAAATGTAATGATTTAGAGGGAATTGAGGCGAATGCTTACAGCGGGAACATTATGCTTGGTTGTTTATTCATAATTCTAATAATCACACTCACTTCTAACCATATTTGTTTGCAGATATGCAGGTTTATATTGTCCGTTTCCCGTGTGTAGTGACGTGAATACTAGCAAAATTGGTAAAACATGAAGAGAAATATGATGCGATATGATATGTTAACATGAATTTCCATTGTGAAACACATGTAACAACTTGAACCTAATTGAAATGCCTGATGTATCTTGATTCAATATACATATATTTTAGTTTTGCACAACAAACAGCACTAGTCTATGTACATCATTAACGTTCGCGATCCATACTGTTGGTGTGAGTACACTCGAGTTTGACAGAAATGACGTGATCTCTATGTTCACATCGAAGTCACACAATGCGTTGACCATTTCACCTAGATTACTCCATCGTGATAAGCGAGTGAGTGTAATTCCAAGTGATTGACTAGAATGAATGCTGTCAATGACAATAGCAATGTTGATGCAATAGTCATATATATATATTTATATCATTTTCCTGGATCGAACGGTCGTTCTACGAATTCAATATCGCTTATTTTATTGTTAAAATCTCACTTAATTTAAAATACACAATGAATATACTAGTGGATGTCTCTCCATTATGATCATTGATGAACTCATTGAATTTGTGGAAATCGTTATATAATCTGCTTTCCACTATTTGTACTTTTATAGTTCACTTACTACTGATTATGTGTCATAAAATACCATCTTTATCCATATTTGTCAACGAATCACATTGTCAGAAAAGAAAAATGAGTGATGTTCTCTTACTACTCATAATCTACTGATCACAAAGTTGTAAACAATGACACATCACTAATCAATCAGTTTGCATTATATCTGAGTTTTAGAGGAGTAAGATTGATGTAATGCATGTTACCAGTACGGCTTTATCGAACTATTCAGTTATCAATTGTTACAATTGCAGAATAATAAATAAGAACTTTCGTCTAAATTCGATTGAATAGTTTCACCGTATTTGGGCGCCGAGTTGATGTGAGACATAAATGAGAAGGAATGTATTTGTATTCGAGAGAAAGCTTGGATCAGATTGCCAAGCAACACGTTGGATTTACTTCAGAATTCATTTGCTCAGATGTATAAATATATATAATCACTAGAAGAAACAGTCTTATCTCGAGAATAATAATAGTTTCTCAACTGTTACCACTACATCTTAGTTATATAAAAAGAAACAACTATCAATTTAAAAGTATTAAACTTACCGATCATTACTGCCAAGTAAATGGTGATGTGTTCGTTTGACTGTATCATGTTTACAACTAGTTACAAATGGTTGTTGACAGTTGCATTCAATGTATATATATATACATCCAGAGAGAGAGAGAGAGAGAGAGAGAGAAAGCGAAAATATCGACTAAATATATTTCATAATTATTTAGTACAATATGTAGGATGTGACTGACGATTGGTAGTCTGATTTTCAACAAGGTCATTTGAATAATTATTCTGAAGATTTTCTTTCATGGCCTGATGTCTCGTATGATTTAAGCGAAATTATCATACGATATTATGAAATGAATAGATTCTTACCGTCATTTGTTCCTAGTTATTAAGTGAACGCTCTTAAGGTCACTGTAGCATCGCTCAAATTGTTGTCCATAAATTTTAGTCTCATCAAGTTGCCTTCTCTGAAGTAAACGATTTTAGAAATAACGACAAATTAAAAAGTTAGATTAAAGGAAAAGAAAGTAACTGGATCAAACATTTGAACATTGGTGGCACAATTATTGACAACAATCATGGAAATTCACTGTGAACACAAGAAACTATCGGTCACTTATGGAGAAATTGTAATTGCTCACTTCTTTGTTTACATTTATGTTAATGATGAAATTTAGCAAACAAAACAATAAAAAGCCACATGATTAAACATTGTAGCTCAGTGTAAAATATATTTTCACTAAAAAAGGCTACTCAACGAAAAAGAAACATTCCTAAAAAGTTTCTGTTGTGACGCGTGACTGCAGATTAGATGCTCAGCGAATTACCGATCGATTACAGTGACACGTAAAACACGCACGAACGACCTAGAGTCCCGATTGGTCCTGTTCCGCTGTCTAGCCCAGCCAGTTGAGTCCACAACACAAGTCTCAGCCTCTGAGTTATGAATCATTATATTTCCAGACATACTCTGTTTATATACCAACCAAACAAACCACATCGTACCATAAAATAGAAAACAACATTTTGTACAATATTTAACAAGTGAAACAAATATCGACTAATAGGGAATGTTCATTTAACGTTCAAGGACAACATTAGACTTAACATGATAATTATTGGTATATTTTTCTGCACATACTAACAGTTTCCTCTTTCTGAATTCTGATGCATAATGTATTTAAGTAAGGAATCAATGATCTTGAGTGCTATTAGAGGTATGAGGGTGGTTATCACTTCCCGGTTGCCCACACTGTGTAAGGGTTCTTGTAGAGGTACCTGAAAAAATTGGGTTAGAGGTGGTCTTGGTGACCTGAAAGCGTGAACACAGTGCCCAAGGAACAACTGCTTGAGGCCGGTCACACACGCTATTTTTCGTCTTAGCTCTGTACTTGTTGAGACCTTATCGCCCGAGAAGGAAATCTGTGGGATTAGGCGAGGTGTGTATTTTTAGGGTCGACCTTTTCTAACTCCTCTAATCCTTGTGGGAAGGCGGCATCACTGTTATGCTGGTTTTCTGAAGGAAAAACCTTACTGCCGTCACACCTCTGTATAGTCAACAGTACGACTTCGCCTTAGCACCTTAGGCTTGATGCTTTTGGTCTTACTGTTCTTCAACCTACCTGTCTGGCACGGTAGGACCTTAACAAACGATTGTTCCAGCTAGTATACATCGATTGGTTCATCACGATGGGCGAGCCCGACTACCACGTCAAAGTAGCAACAACGGTCGGGTAAATAAGGAATATTTAAGAGACTTTCTTGAACAGATAAGTAAATGAATATATAAAGCTAAACTTGTTTTTAAATACGTCCATATATTCATTACATATCAAAATATCATTTTGTCTACTATGAATTAGTTAGTTCAAAATTTAATAGTGTCAGATTGAATCAGTTTGATTCAATACTAAAATGAATATACAATTTGACTAGAATAAGTTTCTCAATTTACTGTTTTACTTATCTAGCCAGTCATATCAAACCCTATAGGTTGGATAAATACACTTTAAGTTTTAAATTAATTTTTAAAGAAAATTCTAATGAATACAGATATCAGATTCTCATCAACTTAGTATATCGATAAAATTATATACTGTGTAAATAGAAAGTATCTCAACTATTGTGGCATATACTACTTATGTCTTTCAGCATAAGTAGTATATAACACTAATCAGAAGCGAAACATATAGCAGCAGAAATCTATGAAGATCGAATTGAAGAAAAAAAGAAAAGGAAATAGAAAGAATTTATAAATTAGAAAAATTATACAGAATGAAAAGGGAAATTGATGGAAGATTTGTAAATGAAGCATTTAATGCAGTTTGTTGAACTGTCATGATTTATAATTATGTAATAAT